GAGAATAGTGACTGTCATTTCTGATTTGATCAATGTGCGGTCTAGCCTACTCATATTGTGCAGTAAACCTCATTTACTTCAGAAACGGCATGCTGCCATACACTTCATACCATCACAATACACTACTTACGTAATACAAAATTTACAGTTGACATTACTGGTTGGCACGGGTGAGTTAAGTAAAACTCACAAGGATGTGGCATGAGGTAATTTATTATTATGCGTCCAGTACACTCAAAGAGAACTATTCACATCGAGATTTCAAGGTCGAGATTAAACCTCATTGGGAATCCATAATACCATTGATGTGCTGGTTCAGCAGAGCATGGCAAAGAAGACTCCGACCGACCAAGCGAACTGTTGCTGCACCTAAGATAAAAGGAAAATTTAATACAAGTTACGACGAGGTTAGTTTTGTCATTATTTGTTTTGAACTAGAGAGACCCAGAGAGAGAGGCTCGGAGGAACCTGTAGCCTCTCTCTGGGTCTCTCTAGTTCAAAATAAATAACTAATAAATAAAAACAACTTTTTTTATCGTAGGGTGTGATCGTCTGCTGTGAGGTGTTGCACTGAAGCAACAAACGTCATTTCGTCGAGTTTTTAATCGTTCTGCTGGATGTCTCTGCACTCCTGGACTTATCGTCCGTAGACTTCAGCCAAGTGCTTTCCTTTTCGTAGCTTTACTTACTGCGGTGTAATGACAAGACTAACCTCATCGTAACTTGAATTAAATTTACCTTTTATCTTAGGTGCGGCAACAGTTCGCTTGGCTGGTCGGAGTCTTCTTTGCAATGCTCTGCTGAACCAGCACATCAATGGCATTATGGATTCCCAATGAGGTTTAATCTGGACCTTCAAATCTCCATGTGAATAGTTCTCGTTGAGTGTACTTTCATTGGACGCATAGTAAATTACCTCATACCACATCCTTGTGAATTTTACTCACCCGTGCCAACCAGTAATGTCAACTGTAAATTTTGTATTGAGTAGTGTGTTGTGGT